AGGGCCTTTGCTGCCCATCAGTGTAGGCAATAATGTCTTCCTATGTCCCCAATACAGTGGTACCTCTGGTTACGTACTTAATTCGTTCCGGAGGTCCGTTCTTAACCTGAAACTGTTCTTAACCTGAAGCACCACTTTAGCTAATGGGGCCTCCTGCTGCCGCCACACCGCCGGAGCACGATTTCTGTTCTCATCCTGAAGCAAAGTTCTTAACCCGAGGTAATATTTCTGGGTTAGCGGAGTCTGTAACCTGAAGCATATGTAACCTGAAGCGTATGTAACCCGAGGTACCACTGTACTGTGTGAGAGAGAGAGAGGGGGAGAGAGGGGGAGGGAGGGAGGGAGAAGTATGGTGCCCTCTAGTGTCACAGAAGGGAACAGTATTGTGCAACAACACCCCTTGTGATTGGCTGACAATGCAGATACTTGGTCTTAGTCACATGTGATATTTAAATGCTAGACTCTGTACCTGTTGCTCCTTTTGCAGATCAAAGAGCAGCATCTTCCTGAGACTTCAGCCATTGGCTGGGACAGGGTTTGTGAAATATAAAGTCCCTCTTGACGTTGTTTCAGCTAGAAAATTCCTTCCTGGGTCTATGCATGTGTGGTCTGCTGCCTTCCCATGAGATCTCCAGTTCTGGGTGTGCAAAAGCCACTTGACCTCAAATGAACCTTGAGTCAATTACAACTATTCTTTTCACCCCTGTGCGTGGCTCCTTCCTTCTGGCGGGGTTGTGTTGATTCTTAGAAACGCACATCCAGAAGATACAAGGAAGCACCACACTGACCAAAGGGGTTTTGCCGTAGCGTGATTGCATCTGCCGTCGAATAAACTGCTGCATGATTACCATACAGCCTTTGGCACTGGCCTTTGGCATTGTCAAGGAGCTGTCAAGCGAGCCCAGGTCATCCACAGGGCAGTGAAGCATGGGAGGCACGGCACGCAATTAGCTTTTTATTAACAGAAAATAACAACACAACAGAGTCCTCTGGCTCATCTTCATTCAGCTGAGACGTTGCTGAAACTGACCCTTCCCTGCTCTAACCACTCATTCTGGATCCCTCCCAAGCAATGTGCAGGAGTGTCCTGGAGCAGGGTGTCAGACTGGGAGGAGAGCCAGCAGGACTTGAACTCCCCTGCTGCTGGTTTGCAAGGGCAACCTTTGACTGCTCTCTGTCTGAGTTTGCACTCACACTGTGACTCTCAGCCTTGAACCCTGTCCTGGAAGGCTAGCCTTCTCTTGCCCTCCCTTGATTGCTCAAACCCCCTGCTTCTAGCACCTCCCAGCCTGTCCCACCACCAGGATCCAGGATCTAAGTCATCATCTGTGCCCGCCGGGGGGGGGGGCTTTTGGGCAGGCAGCTCCCCCTGTTGTTGTTGTTTAGTCGTTTAGTCGTGTCCGCCTCTTCGTGACCCCCTGGACCAGAGAACGCCAGGCACTCCTGTCTTCCACTGCCTCCCGCAGTTTGGTCAAACTCATGCTGGTAACTTCAAGAACACTGTCCAACCATCTCGTCCTCTGTCGTCCCCTTCTCCTTGTGCCCTCCATCTTTCCCAGCATCGGGGTCTTCTCCAGGGAGTCTTCTCTTCTCATGAGGTGGCCAAAGTATTGGAGCCTCAGCTTCCGGATCTGTCCTTCCAGTGAGCACTCAGGGCTGATTTCTGTAAGAATCCCCTTCATGGATCACTGCCTTGCCGTGGCGATGGGGCTTGAATAACTCAGAGAAGCTATGAACTATGCCGAGCAGGGCACCCAAGATGGACAGGTCATAGTGAAGAGGTTTGACTAAATGTGATCCACCTGAAGGAGGAACCGGCAAGCCACTCCAGTATCCCTGCCAAGAAAACTCCATGGACAAAGACAACAGGCAGCTCCCCCTACTCTTCCTCATCCAGCTAGTCCATCTGCAGAGATACTTCCTCCGGAGGTTAGCAGGGGAAAGGGTCAGAAAACCCCATCTTGTGCAAATGGAACATGGAGTGCCAATTGAGTCTTTTCTCTGGCCACACTCTTCTCGATATATGAAGATGGTTTGTGGCTTGCTTCTGTATTGCGATTGCCGCTTGCTGAGTTTTGAAACTGGGGCGGCAGTGGAGGCCAAGGGAAACTGACCACAGGGTTGGGGAACCTCTGGAAGCTGGAGGGCAGGGAGGGGGGAAAATAGCCCTGCAAACTCTCCTTATGACCCCCAGAACTCTGACCAGACCACACTCCTCACTGGGCAGATGCACAGTTTTTAACCCTTCAAAGGATTATGGTTAAGGCTGGATACAAAGTCCTACAGAGTAGACCCACTGAAATTAATGGCCTTAAGTAGGTCGTAGCATTAATGCAGGGGTCAGCAAACTTTTTCAGCAGGGGGTCAGTCCACTGTCCCTCAGACCTTGTGGGGGGCTGGACTATATTTTTGGGGGGAGGGGGAATGAACAATTCCTATGCCCCACAAATAACCCAGAGATGCATTTTAAATAAAAGCACACATTCTACTCATGTAAAAACACACTGATTCCTGGACCGTCTGTGGACCGGATTTAGAAGGCAATTGGGCTGGATCTGGTTTGCCTACCCATGCATTAATTCAAATGGGTTCTGGATACTTGCACCTTACTCCCTACCCCCCTACCCCACTTCAGAATACCTGCAGGATTCAGGAGCAACGAGGGATGGAAAAGAAGGGAGCGTGTGGAACCTCAAGCAGGATCTGAATATAAGATCTCCCCTCCTGTGGCTAGTAGCCATCAATAGCCCTCTCCTCCATGAATTTCCTCATTCCCTTTTAAAGCTGATGGCCATTGCTGTCTCCTGCGGAAAGGAGTTCCACAGCTCATCAGCGCACAGTTTGAAGAAGGACTTTTTGAACCGTCCAACCTTCGGTTTGATTGGATGCCCACAAATCCTAGTGTCACAACATCCGATTGGCTGCTCTGGGAAACAGGATTGGCAAGATCTGGCTTATTTCTCACCGGGAGACAGAGCTGGAAAAGCTAGCCGAGGACACAGCCAGATGTAGCTCTGGATTTCCAGGCTGCCTTTTCGTTTCACCGGCTTTCCCCAGACATTAATTTAAAGCAATTTAATTGGGGGAAATCGTTTTAATTGGAATGTCTTCCCTGACCACAGGCAGTGGAGGAGATAACCACAGGTGATGGCAGCCAGGCCTCTGCTTGTGCATCACAGCGCCCTCTAGTGCCTGTAGGCTCATGTTTAGCTGTGTGCCTGGGGCCTGTACGGCACACAGATGGTGAGTATTTTCCCTGATGCCCTTGGCAAAGGACCATCTGAAGGCCGTAATACCTACTTCTTACCAGCTCTCAGCAGTGGAAGTAAGATGTTACCGGCTGGATCAGACCAAAGATCTATCTATTCCAGCATGGTGCTTCCTAGAGCGTCCAATCAGATGCTTCCCAGAAAGAATTTGAAAGTGGGGCTTGAAGATAAGAGCCCCTCCTCATTATATCTCCCCCAGCATCCAGTATCTGGAGGTCAGCTTCTTAATCGTACGGAGCTTCTGTTCCTGTCATAGCTAATAAGGATGTCAGAAGCTGAATTTGGAAGATTGAGGACAGAAATAAGGAATTACTGCTTGGTCTCAGGTGGCACAATGGGTCAGTGTGTCTGGCTCTTAGCCAGAAGGTTGGTGGTTTGAGGCCACCCAGGGCAGGATTCCTTGGGATCCTTTTCAGCTCTACACCTCTATGATTCTACCTCTTTGCGCAGCACAGAGTTAAACTATGGCACTCACTCCCACAGTATATGGAGCTTCTGCTGCTGTTACTGGGATTTCAAAGGCAGAATTGATGTCCTGGGGGAATCAACAACTTTGGGGGTTCCCCTGGTTTTTACTTTTTGAACTATGGCAACCCTAGCTAATAAGGACACGGAAAGGTGAATGTAGCAAGATCCATGCCATACCTATTTGCGCAGCACAGAGTTAAACTATGGAACTCACTCCTGCAGGAGGCAGTGACGGCCACCAAGTTGGGTGGCTTGGGCAGATTCATGGTGGAGGGTGCTCTCAGTGACTACTAGCCACAATGGCTATGCTCTGCCTCCATGGTCAGATCCAGTAATGCTTCTGAATACCAGTTGCTGGAAACCACAAGAAGGGAGGAGGCTCCTGTGACCTGATCCAGCCGGGCATTGATATAGTCCATGGGTACGCAAACTAAGACCTGGGGGCTGGATCTGGCCCAAACGCCTTCTCAATCCAGCCTGTGGACGGTCCCGGAATCAGTGTGTTTTTACATGAGTAGAATGTGCCCTTTTATTTAAACTGCATCTCTGGGTTATTTGTGGGGCCTGCCTGGTGTTTTTACATGACTAGAATGTGTGCTTTTATTTAAAATGCATCTCTGGGTTATTTGTGGGGCATAGGAATTTGTTCATTCCCCCCCCCCCACAAGGTCTAAGGGACAGTGAACTGGCTCCCTGCTGAAAAAGTTTGCTGACCCCTGATATAGTCCTTTCCAATGTTCAAAGTGTTTCAAAGGCCTTTCTCTGGCTCCCAGTTCTTACAAATACTCTTTAACCTGGCTTTTGACACTTGGGATGTTTATTTTTAGGCTCTACCTTATTTCTGTAATTGTATGGTTTTTTAAAATGTTCTCACATTATGTTTTAGTTGTTTTAACCAACCTGGAGACCTTTGAGTGAATGAGGGGTGATAGGTGATGATGATGATGATGATGATGATGATGACACAACCTTGTAAGGTTATTATACCCATTTTGCAGTTGGGAAGACTGAGAAAATATGAGAGAGAGAGAGAGAGAGAGAGAGAGAGAGAGATAACAGAACAACGTGCCTAACGCTTCTTATTAGAGCCAGAGCAGAAGGGAGATTTTGAATCACTGACTCCTCCCCAAACAAGACTATCAAAGGAAGGTTTAAAAGCGGAATTTGCAAACATCACTTTTTACGTGCAAACACGTACCATCTCCATATCGGGGCTGAGACTTCCTTCCCCATTCATACCTGCACATAAATTGACGTATTGTCATTATTATTGCTGCAGATTAAATCTCCGCGCTGACTTTCCAGGCGTCTCTCCTTGACTTGGAATGTGGAATCAACGTGGGGGTTGGCTGCTGAAGGGTTAAGCCTCTAAAGATAGAGGGAGGGAGAGAGAGAGAGCATGAGAGAGCGCTGGGGAGGGAGGTGCAATAGAAGAGAGGGACTGGCTTTTCTCTCCTCTCTCACTCTCTCTTGCTGCAATAAATCCGGCTTAAAGGACGAGAGCAGAGGAGCCTAGAATGGATTAAAGAAAAGTCTGTATAATACAGACGCCAGGACAAGGGGGAGGGGGAGAGAGAGAGAGAGAGAGAGGAGGAGGAGGAGGAGGAGGAGGAAGAAGAAGAAGAAGAAGAAAGAGAATAAGAAAAGGAGCAAAAAGGAGGAAAGAAGGATGAGTTGAAGATCCCAAACTCCAGCTGCTAATCTGCTTATTCCACGGGAGGAGAAAGAGAGGCAGGGACTGAACAGGTGCATCCTCTGGGTACCACTCTCAGCATCCTCTGGGTACCACTCTCAGCATCCTCTGGGTACCACTCTCAGCATCCTCTGGGTACCACTCTCAGCATCCTCTGGGTACCACTCTCAGCATCCCTTCGGTACCATTCGCCTTCGTGGTCTTTCGGACATACTCCTCTCTTGCCATCGCCTGCCTTCCCTCCCCGCTCCCCGTTTTCCTTTTTTTTTCTGCGGGGAGAGAGGGGTTTCTTTCTACATTTCCTCCGTCTCCAAACCCCTCCCCAGCAGGCATCCACGATGTGTTCCTCCGCCGCCGGCCACGGATGCTCCGGCACCCCGTCTTCCCTGCCCGCCTTGCCTTCCGGAGGAGCCTCGCCATGCGGAGAGCCGAGGTGCTTCTAAACCAGATGGAGTTTCTATCCGGGGGGCCAAGACACCCACAATGAACCGCCTGCTGCCTCTCTGCTTCCTATTCCTCAAACTCTTAGATGCGGTGCTGGGTGAGTGAGTGCCAGAGACACCCGCTTTTTTTGCGGCGGCGGCGGGTTGGGTGGGGGGGGGAGAGAAAGAGAGGATAGAGGCATGGCTTTCATGTCCCCCCATCACCAAAGGAGATGCCAGAATCCCATGCGACGCCAGCTCCCCCTCCCAAACCAACGCTGCTCAGGTTCTCTCCAAAGCCACGAACGGCGAGAGAATTTTAGCTCGGCGCATCAAACCGCTCTCCTTTCCCCACTCAAGTCAATAGAGGATGCTTTGGAGCTGGGCAGAGGGAAGTCAGTGGGAGATGAACGGGGTGTTTTCTCCCAACTCATGCCAACTTTCCCCATCCTGGCTTGGTTGTTTAATGCTCCTGTTCTCTGGTCTTTCAAAGCTGCCCTTTGTTGGACCTCAACTGCTAAGAGTTGAGTGGGTCTCTCTCTCTCTCTCCCCCCCCCCCCAGTTAGGAGGCAGTGATGTTGTGCATGGATCTATGAAAAGCCTTATCAAATGCCAAAGCAAACACTTTCGCTTTTTTTCCCTCTGGTGGTGGTCGCAATAATTATTATGATCATAACCCCCCTTCCCCCGAAGCCCCCACAATCAGCATCCATTGTGGAACCAGGTTGCAAGCGGACAATAGACTTTTCAATGGCATCTGACGAGTTGTCGTCGTCTTCTGGAGAATACACAGCCCGGTTTGAGCGAAAAGAGGCGAAATAAGCCAAGAGGAGGGGGGTGATGGAGGAGGAGTATGTTGGGGATAAGTAACCTGGGGGGTTCACAGAGAAAAGAGTGGGGGGGGGGGAGAGAATAAAAAGGGAGGTTGCTTGTTTTGTGGGTTTACCTTTGGACTCAAACTCTGGACCGGTTTGTCGAACAGCAGATAGATAGATTGACACACACGCACACACCCCTCTCCCTCTCTCGTGTGTGTTCGTTCCCCTTTGGAAAATTGTGCGGTGTGTTTGTTATTTTGAGATTGGATTTAGGCTAAAAACAACAGGAACAAGCAAAAGACTTTCATTAGCTCAGGCTCTTTTTTCCAGGGGTTACTTGAGGGCAGATGGGTTGATGCTGTGTGTGTGTGTGTGAGAGAGAGAGAGAGAGATCCGGAGAGCAAAAGCAGAAAGTTCCCCTTATTTATTTTTTCAAAGGAACTGATTTATTGAGCACCCACCCACCCTCCCAGACTTTGTGGCATGTATTGACAGAACCAGAATGGACCTCAATGCAATATTTTGTTTCAGTTCCAATCCTATTCTCTCTCTCCCACCCCCCCCCATATATAGCAATGGGAGTTCTCAAAAAGTCACACTCTCCTATCATCTCTGGTCAGCCGCACCAATCCTTGAATGATTTCGGTCTCCAAACTTAACCTTGTTGTAATTTCTGAGCTGGGGGGGGAGGGTCTTTTCCCCTCTCTTTTTTTGCAATGATTTTTTTGGGGGGTAGGGAAAGGAATTGGTGGTTGATATCTCTTTGCCGATGCTTTCCCTTTTGATTCGGAGTGAAAATCCAGTTCAAGTGCTTCCAGCCTAGGTTATCGCATACTGTGGATACAGCACTGGGTTTATGGGTGTCCCCCCTCCCCTTCTTCCTATAATAGCCCAACTCAAATCTTCCAGGTTAGCTGAAATTTGAATGAGTAATAACCGTGAATAATGTCAGGCAGCTGGTTGAGAAAACAAGTCGCTGGAAGGAAGGGATGACCTCTTCTTCCCTCGACTCTTTGGGGAAGTAGCAAGAAGGATTCGATATGCGGCCTTTGGTGGGATTTATTTGATTATGAGGATCGCCCATTGGTGGTGGAGGTGAACAAGGCAAAGTATTGCTTCTGCCTAGACATTCAGAACAATAAATGACAATATTGGAAACAAAGAAAATATAAGTGTGTTTGTGTTCAAAATAGGAATGATTCTACTTTTATTTACAGCATCTTAAGTTTATAATGCAGGAGGCAAGCTATGGGGTTACAATGGACTCTTTTTCAGCTTGATGTTGTTGTTTTTAAAGTGGAATAAATACATATTGGTGTTGGTGTTTGAGCTATTTTGACCTGGCTGCTTTATATGTGATCTGTACACTCTTCTCTTCTCTTCTCTTCTCTTCTCTTCTCTTCTCTTCTCTTCTCTTTTCTTTTCTGTTCTTTTCATGAAGCAAGGCAATAGGAGCTGGCCAAAGAGTGTAGGCTGGGTTTCGGGAGTGGCAATGGTGGCACCAGTGGCAGAGCTTCGCCTGCATGACGCAGCTTGGCTTACTTACCGGAGCAATCTAGAGACATGATCACTTCCCCAAGCCACTTCTCTGCTGTGATCCCCCCATATGGCAAACTCTGGCCTAAATTCTTGTCTGTACAGTGGGTGTGAGGGCTGGGTTCAGTGTCTTTGGCCCCTCTGCACTCTGTGGATTCTGCTTTTCTGAGAACCAATAGCACCTGATAACATTATTTATTGTCCTGTTATTTATTTATCTGTTATTTACTGTTGTTTTTTTTGCAGTGGAAGCTGGTCCAGTGGGGTGAAAGGGGCACTGCCCTCCCACAACCTCAGTCTGCCCTCAGCCAGCCTTCATTTGCCCTTTTCCCTTTCTTCCAGTCTGGAGGATGGCTCTGCTTGCTAGTTTCCTCATGTAGCAGGGAGGAGGTGGAAGGTGGGGGCGAAAGCAGAATGAGTTGGCTCCACCTCTCATTGTGCCCTGGGGCCATCCTGGTGAGGTCTCTGCCTTCTGTCCCACTGGTCCTAGTGGGCATCAGCCACTACTGGATTTAGGGATGATAAGTTGCCTTAAGTTGCTCCTGCAGGAGGCCACAAATTTGGATGGCTATAAAAGAGGATGGTACAAATTCATGGGCGAGAAGAGGGCTGTTGATGGCTACTAACCACAATGGCTATGCTCTGCTTCCATGGTCAGAGGAAGCAAATACATGTGAGTCACAGTTTCTGGGATCCACAGGAGGGGAGGTGTTGCTCAAATTCTCCTTGCAGGCTTCCCATTGGGTCATCTTGTTGATGGCTGTGAGAACGGGATGCTAGACCAGGTGGGCCTAATCCAGCAGGGTCTTCAGATGTTCTTACATTCTAATGGGAACCACAGGAGGGGAGGGCTCCTCTGTGCTTGAGAAGTTCTCAGGGGCACCTAGGTGACCACTCTGTGACGAGGGTGCTGAAAGCCTGACCCGAGGGCTTTCTGGTGGTTCCCTCACTGCGAGAAGTGAGGCTACAGGGAGACAGGCAGAGGGCCTTCTTGGCAGTGATGCGATCCCTGTGGAACGCCCTCCCCGCATATGTCAGGGAGATAAGTAACTACTGCATATAACCTTTGGAAGACATCTGAAGGCAGCCGTGTATAGGGAAGCTTTTTAATGTCATTGCTTTATTATGTTTTTATATATCTTGGAAGTCCCTTAGAGTAGCTGGCGCAACCCAGTCAGATGGGCAGGGTACAAATATATTATTATTATTATTATTATTATCCAGCAGGGCTCAACTTATGTGTCTATGTTTCTACTCCGAGTCTGACTGAGTTCTCTGGGGCTTGTGCAAGGATGTGTCTCCTTATTCTAGAAGCAGGTCTTCAAAATCTCTTTCCCCCTTCCTGAGTTCTGAGCAAAGAATAAACACGGGAGCTTAGATTAGCTGGGATTCACTCGTTCCTCCAGCAGAGGGCGGCTCCATGTGCAGGCACACGCCATGCAGCGATGTGAACTTTGCAAACTTCTCCCTTCAGATTCTCACACTTGTGGCTTCATCAAGGGAGACCATAACCCCCTCCAATTCCTCGCCTCCAACCATCTCTCTATGCGCTCTGTGTGTGTCTGCTTCTCCTGTGCTGACTGATTCATTCTGAGAGAGAGAGGGAGAGGGAGAGAGAGAGGGAGATTCTCAATCAAGGGACATAAAAAGGCTTTAAATAATAGAAAGCCAACAGAAGCTGGACGATCTTTTCTTTTAAAGCTGCCTCGGTGGTGGTAAAATAAATTAATGGCCTGGAAATCACTCTGTGCCTCCCTGCCATGGAAAAGTGGCTTGCCTGGTGTCTGCAAGATGGGCCAAAAGGCAGAGGGATTTTACATAGTAATATTACAGTGTAATGTTGATCTGGACACTGTACAGAATAGTACAGTGTCCAGATCAAGGGAAGTAACTGAGCCACTGTTTTCTGCCTTGATCTGACCCCGCCTGGAGTCCTGTGTCCCGTTCTGGGCTCCACAGTTTAAGAAGGATATTGTCAAACCAGAACGTGCACAGAGGAGGGCAACCAAGATGATCAAGGGTCTGGAAAGCAAGCCTTATGAGGGAGCTGGTTGTGTTTAGCCTGGAGAAGAGAAGATGGAATATCTTCAAATATCTGAAGGGCTGTTCCATGGGAACAAGCTTGTTTTCTGCTGCTCCAGAGGGGAGGACCCGAACCGATGGATTCAAATGACAAGGAAAGACATTCCAAGTAAACATTAGGAAGAACCTTCTGAGGGTAAAAGCTGTTTGACTGTGGAACAGACACCTTCAGAAGGTGATGGACTCTCCTTCCTTGGAGGTTTTTAAGCAGACGTTAGATGGCCATCTGTGAGGGATTCTTGAACTGTGATTCCTGAATTGCAGGGGGTTAGACTAAACGGCCTTTGGTGTTCCTTCCAAGTAGAATTCTATGATTCTATCTCTTCGTAATGAGACATTGTGCGGTGCGATGATGATTCTGGGGTTTGGCTGTTTGTCCTCTTCCCGCACTTCATAGACAGGTGTTCAAGGGATGTGGTGGCAGAAATATCAGTAAACATGTCCCTTAAGGTGCTGCTAGGCTGTCAATATTTCACAGGAGGGATTTAAGTGAACTCTGGAACTTTAGGACACGCACAGTTAAAGTGGATCAAAGCAGTCTATTGCCCTAGGGCAGGCATCCCCAAACTCAGCCCTCCAGCTGTTTTGGGACTACAACTCCCTACATCCCTAGCTAACAGGACCAGTGGTCAGGGATAATGGGAATTGTAGTCCCAAAATAGCTGGAGGGCCGAGTTTGGGGA